GCCTTGGGGCCTCCGCTGGGACTAAATAGTATTATATTTTTAAAGCAGCGTAGTAATTACTCCACTAGCAGGGCCAATGAAAATGGCATGCGGGCCCCTCCGCTATTCCGCAAGATGTTTGCACTCCAGTAAACTTGCTATAAGGCCCCGTAGCTCAAAACTTTCAGAACGCCGATATATAATCATATCTATGAATTATATTTTCTTAATAGGCAATTGATCGCTAGATTCGAATCTTCAATTCTGATATTTCTTCAAATATTCTTCTCGTCTGATACCCAAAATATCAAGAATCTCCAATATTGTCTCAAATGAATCTAAATGAAGAATAAATATACGACAATATTTTCCAAATTTTATTTCAGGACGGATTAGCTAGCGTTCAGACGTATTTACGTATTATTATCAATGGGGGATCTGGAAGATGATTGGGATTCCTGCCATCATTTCTCAAGGATCTTCTTTTCTGAAATGCTATATTTGTCGATATTCTGAATAGGCGATTGGGATTAGAATCTCTCATAAATATTAGGCGAGACGCAGATCGAAAATAGAATGAGAGATCTTTGGGAGATCGTTGCATTGAAGTCAATCTGGGATATGAATCTATGATCTTTGAGAATTTAGGAGATCTTATAAAGATCGGAGATATCTTCCTAAAGATTATCTCTGCAATAGTAGATGAGCAATTGATCCGTCGCCAAGATGATTGATATAGGGATTATATGGGACGCTTAATTTTGATCTATAGAGGGGCGGAATATAGAACTACAATTCCGTCATGAGGTCTTATAATCCTATCTTTCAGGTCTTCAAATAAACGCATATATATTAAATCTATCTATCGGATGAATCAGAAGAATATCAAATGAGGGTCTTCTATAATAGCAATCGGGTCAATGCGCCTCAATCTACGCGATTTTGTAACCGATTGCCTCGCCCAGATAATATAATATATTTCTATCCCATTCCTTGATTCATAAATTCAAAAACGATTTTTCGTTATATATCCTCATCTTCCTGCAAATTTCGTGGATATCGAAAAACGACTACTAGATATCGACAAAATTCTATAGTCCATTAGATATAGGGATTGAAGCGAGAGAGAAATCAAGACCACCAATTTTCGGACACGTGCAATTTTCCGGCATTCAGCGCTGAGGCATGATTAAAGGCAGCATACAAGCAAGGATATATATCATAGAATCATCTCCAATTATATATCATTGCTTCCCGGTCGATTCAGTATTTCCTATTGTAGTATGCAACGAAGATTCCTAAATCCGAAAGTTGAAAAGGATTAATTCAATTCGAAATGCTCAAGCTCCGAAGTCCTGAAGAGAAAAAGATTGAGAGCTAATTGAATTTCAAAATTAGAATCTCGACAATCCCGCCTCTGATCCCTAATCTTTAAAGAAGTGGGGGGTGGGGAAAGTAAGGGGCGTAAGCGAGGACCTCGGGGAGAGGGGGAGGGGGAGAAGGGTCGGCCGCCTACGTATTTTTATGATATAATCATTGTTAATATTGCTAGTTTCAATCATATCCTAAAATTGAATTCTTATGGGGAAATATATAGGATCTAAAGATTTCGAATCTTAGATCTTCCAATTTAGATAGAAGCCAATATTTATCAATTTTTAATTTTTATTCATTTCTAAATTTCTTTTTTCATTTCTATCTATCTATTTGAGATAAATCAATTTTTTTTTGAATATCTTTTGAAATATGAAATATAAAAAAAAAATTAATCTCTATGAATATTTCTTTTTCTCTATTCTTTTGTTTTTCTCTTTCTATATTTAAATTCTTTCGTCTATCTACTTATCTTTCTAGATTTGAATTCTTTCATCTATCAAAATATATCCTATTCTTTATCATAATTGAGAATTACCAAAATATCGAGCGAAGAAAAGAAATAACATTCCAAAAATCTAAATTATGAATGAAATTTTTCTAATAATCCTCATTCCCACAAGTTCAGAATCCCTCAATTCAGAATCTTTCAGATTGATCAATATCAAGAAAGAGAGAACAACCTCATTCATAATCAGAGATCTTAGAGTAATCAATCATATAAATCCTCGGGTAGGTAAATATATTGATCTTATTTCGATATCTAGATATCATTTTCGTTCAAAATTGGTTGTTGTATCTTTAAATTCAATATTGGCACGCGGGGTTTGCATTCAGGTCATATGCTCGTCGAATCAATGCTTTGCGAGATTATCAGAATATTTTTGAATCTCCCCCCTGTTCCTGCAGAATAGTTAAGTTTCCGCATACATTAGCCGTCCCGCTCCTCCTACAGCAGAAACCCAATACGTGGCTAGACAGCGGAAGTACATACAAGCAGTCCTTATGCGAACGGATCTCTCGGAAAAGAATCAACCAAATCTTGCATTTGTGGTTCTTGCGTCTACTCTGATCAGGAGCATAGCCCCTGTTTTTTAGGGCCAAACGTTCGGGCGCATTCATGGTCGGCTTAAAGGGTGAGCCCTTTGCCTCACGAATTCTTGTTAATTCATCATGCTTCTAAGATGCCCCTTGCCACCATCTTTCCTCACTCCTGATCCTGCAGAATAGTTAAGTTTCCGCATACATTAGCCGTCCCGCTCCTCCTACAGCAGAAACCCAATACGTGGCTAGACAGCGGAAGTACATACAAGCAGTCCTTATGCGAACGGATCTCTCGGAAAAGAATCAACCAAATCTTGCATTTGTGGTTCTTGCGTCTACTCTGATCAGGAAGAGAGAGGGCCTCTTGTTGCAGCAACTATGATCACACATTTTTGACACCAATGCATCCAGAAATCATCAAAGACCAAGCCCTGAATCCAAAAGAAAGCGCTTCAGGCGGTCAGGGCTTCTCGGCAAATGGGCTGCCGGGCCGGATGCGGGGCACCTTCAGAGAAGGCATGAACCCTAATCCTTGAAACTCTGGCAGGATCTCCATGCAAGTGGCAAGTGGTCACGTGCGAGCCTGTTTCGTGCGTGTTCCAATACACATCCTGGTCCGGAATCCGGAAGATGCATCCTTAGCAGAATTCACACGAGTTCGACAGCTGTCTTGAAGATGGCGGCACAACTTTGCAGCTTTGCCGAGCATCCTTTCGGATCAATCTCTGCCGGATTGCCCTCCTTTGTCCATTCCGAGCAGTTAGAGTCAGAGGTTGAGGCTACAATATCGTGCAGTGTCCAGTCGCTACCTTGCTTAGCCCAACATCGGCCAGGCTTAGAGTCGTTTGGTGGCCCGGGTTTTTGAGCTTTGGGGCGTCCAGTTCCTGCTCCGTTGTGCAAGACAAGTAGCCCCTTGATAGGTCTTCCCAAGGTTGCTCGCCGCAACTTCACACTCATCCTCGGTCCATGCAGACCCTGCAAACCAAGGGGTATCCGCGGCAGATGCCACTCCACTCTGGCATGCGAAAATGCGCAAAAATCAGCCAAGACGCTGATTCCTCCAGAGGCTTGCTGCCAGGTGGACAGTCATTGGTTTCGGCTTCTCCCATGACGTATCTCGGCAGCTATTGGTGTGCCCAATACCAAATCACTTCAACATACTTCAAGCAACCATGAACTCAGGTTGACGGACGGGCCGGGCCAGACAGGGCTGCTAAAAACTCTGCGCATCTCGCATTGCCGAGGTGCTTCGCTGAGGTTGCCGCATCCTGGCGCCATACACTCTAGGACTCGCCCCTCGCTCGCACACTGCGTCTTCCAATTGCCATGTCAGCATCACCCTTAGCAGGCCTTTCGCTGACCATCTGCTGCAGTTGCTGCTGTAGATTTGGCAATGCCAGGCTCTGGGGGACTCTGTGCTGCGGGACTTTGCGCAGCAGGATTTTGCGCCGCGGGACTTTGCGCAGCATCTTCCTTGACAACACACAACTTCAAGCACCAAAGTCAGCTGTGCCCATGCAAGAACAGCCCAAATAGACTAGCGCCTTGAAGCAGCTGAACTTTGTGTGTGAACCTGAAAGCCCAGCCCCTTCGCCTCCTAGCCGGTTTGCTGCAAACGTTCGCAAATGAGGTAGCTGATGCGTGCTGTGTGGATCGCTGCTTTGGGACGGGGATCTGGCCAGTTTAAAGATCAATTGCTCGAGGCTTGAGGTAATCATGCGTCAGACTGCACATAACCACTTGCACAAGTAGCAGTGACAATGACTAAACCTGCGAAAAGGATAAGTGTTACCCTTTGAGATGCAACCGTCCTCCATGTCTAGGCAGGTTCAGCAAAGGGGCGGGGATCGGCAAATTGTCAAAAGCGGTGAAGGATACGCCGTGGAATTGAGGCGGCGGCACAGCTTTTTCCATAGAAAACGGTTGGAAAATGCCCGTGCAAACCCCAAGCCAGCGCTGGAGGCTACAAATGCCCCTGAAGTGGCACGTGGTGAAAGCGACTGACCATGGCACCAATCAGACTAGCCACAGATTGGCCGCACTACATCACAAATGGTTCCTTTGCCGTCTGCTTCCTGCCTCATTACTGCCTCGTGTTGAAGGATAGAAAACTAAGCGGACATCCCGCCTTAGCGCTAATCGAGTGTTTTCTGACCGCTACTTGCAGCTGCGCTTCGTCTCGCTGGCAGACTGGCTGCCGGCTGTGGTGAGGTGCTCCTGTCTCAGGGTAGCACGTGGGGAACTTGTCCAATTGTTTGGGTTTCTTCAAGCTTCAAATTCGGAGAGGCTTCCCAGAAGGTTTTGGAACCCCAGGGCTGCTCTGCAAAGGAGGGTTAGATGGGGCAGCTGCCCAAAAATATGTCCATCCCGTACTCTCCACAAACCAGCACAACAACATGCTACAACAAAGCAAGTGATGCCCATGACTGACAAGCCTAGGCCGAGAGTCCTGACTGGTGCAGGTTGAAGTAAACGTCTTGGTCAGTGACTCTGTAGTTGCAGCCTGCGTGCTTTCTGAGTGTATGGACTCTGTCTTTCCCAGCCCTTGATCCTGCCTTTCGCCGTGTCATGGTGTTTCTCCAACAATTAGCTTTCAGCATGACCAGGTACAACCTTCTCTTGCTGTGTTTGGGCGACCTTTTGAGGCCGGCCTGTCGGGTCGGACTCAGCTTCAAACGACTCCTCATGGTAGGATTTGTCCAAGGAGTTTGCGCCGGCTTGGCAATCCTGAGATTCGATGTAGCCAAGCTGCACATGACATATAGAATGTAGAAGGCCCTTATGCCGTGAACCCTGCCGCCACCTTTTCTGCGAGAATGTACAATGCTCAACTGACGGAGCTAATGCGAGCTAATCCAGCATCGAACCTTACTGCAAGCTTTGCGGTTTGGCGTGCTTTAAGTGGTGTAGAGATGTTGGTCAGTTTGTCGAATGCACAGCGATCTCCAATTGGCCCTGCGCTGACGCTCACAGCTCCGCTAGGGCCCTTGCCTGCGGTGTGAGAACCTTGCTATAGCCAGTTGGACAGCTGTCCAAGCCAGCTTCCGCCAGAACCTGATCTGGGAAGGAAACCAACCAAAATGCCGGTCGGTTGCAATAGACCAATGAATGAAGCTTGGAAACTGCAATTGAACCGAGCAACATATTCTGCAGCTGTCGAAGACCGGGATGCGCTAGCTGTAGAGGCAGAAGCTGTAAGGTCTGATGCCTGTTGCAAGTCGATCACGGCATCTACGAGTCTCAGCATGTCATTGCGCATCTCGGCAACTGTAGCAAAATTAGAACCTGAAATTATGAAAATCCACCAGATCACACTGCGCAATGCACGACGTAGCATGGCCATTCTTATGACCATGTAGGTTGACACAGGACAGTGCCTCGGGCGGCTTCATGCCAGGTGCCCGGCAAATGACCTTCCGACTCTGCACTTAGGTGGGGGCTGCCCTGTTTGTTGACGCATCTCACAAAGCAGACACTTGTGACACTGTGACACATGTCTATCATGTTCTCTTCCGCCCCTCCTTTAGGCTCCCAAGGCCCTTTGAACTATTCTTCTCTCTTTCTTTTGCTCGGGAACGATATTTCTTTGGTGACACCAAATCATCATTTTCTGATGTATGCTGTTTCCAAGCTAAGCCCTCCCTTTAAACTTGCCTCTAGTCCTCCACCCAAGGTCCCCATGAGGCCTCATTGCATCTGTCCTGCTTCTCTTGCTTGGAGGCTATCTTGGGAGACTGGACATTAAGTTGTTTGACATTTCAGCCCCTGCCTAAGCCGACACCTTGATGAAATGGAAAAGGCTGGACTTGGGGCTTGCGGGCTACTGCTTGCAAGATTGTTCTTGCCTTGCGTGACTCGTGCGGCGCACCCTCAGCCTCCGTGTTAAAGTAGACATCCTGAGACAAGATCAACTTTCAGCCAAAGCGCTGAGGTGGTCAATGGGTTCTCAAGATCATCCCCTGCTGCGGTCCCCGGAAAAGGTGCTCTGAAGGCAAGCTGCGGCATCTGGCACCCGGAAGATGCATCCTTTCGGATCCAGCTCTGCAGGCCCGGCTTCCTGTTACTGTTTGTCAATGTAACATAAGAAGGAAAAAGAAGCCCAACTGCTGACATCTTCCCTTCTCACGTGGCCTCCAAGAAGGGCTTGTTGAAGCTATTCGAAGCTGCAGAGCACTCCTCCACCATAGTCAAGAGGCGGCCGCAGAACTGCTTCCCAAAAATGAATGCTTCCATGTACATGCTCTTGGTCCTGTTTGTCGAGAGCCGTGTGACCGGAAGGGCAGCTGTTGCTCTCCGTGTCGGTCATGATGTACCGACCATCAGCGCTCCTCGGTGCAGCTTGGAGGCATCGCGGCAGCACAGGTGTCATGCAAGGCAAAAGACAATTAGCCATTGCCTCTGAAGCTAAAACCGATCAAATCTTAGATCCAATTTGAAATGCGGACTGATCGAAGACCTACCAGCCCACATCCTACCCGATTGGAGCCAAGAAAGCAAAGGCGACATGCCACTCCAATCTGAGGCATTCGTGCCTAGAATGTTGGCAAAGGCGCTTATCAGTCACCGTCGGCTCGGTCTGACTGACAGCTGCAACAACAGCAGGTGCTGGCACGGGATTAGGAGCAGCAGCACCGTCGCCGGAGACCTCCGTCAGGCGCTGCAAAAAGGTGTGAATTCAGCAAGTGCGGAAGCACGTCACAGCAAAGAACTGAAAAGGTCTGCTGTAGTGCAGTAAGAGCGCTGCCTGCACTGCAACTGAAGTAGGAGGTTTCCTGCAGATGGATTTCCGGTCCCGATTCCCAGCGCCCTGGCAAGCATAATAGTGGCTGATGTGAGGCATCTGTGGTCGCTTAGCTGGCCGCTACATTGCTACATTGCTAGGAGCTGCATCCCAAAATCAAGACCAGATGTCTTGTCATTGTCAGTTCCACCTCCTTCGAGTTGAAGTGAACGTCATTATCAGGAACTCGGAACCTTTGCTCAGGAACGAAAAAAGCAGTTGATGAAGAATGCTGCCTTGGATTCATGTCTTGCCAGCTGTGGTTGTCAGCCACGACTTTAAACTGCAGCTGCAGAACTGGCATCCGCGAAATTCTGAATCAACTTTGGGATCCTGATCTTGAAACCTGCTACAGGGCCAAGTTAGCCAGCATGAAATGTTGTGTCTGAGCCTGCGTGCTGGCAATCATGACACACTCAGCCACTTGGGCAGATGCTAACACGAGGAATACACAGGCAGAGGCATGGCTATCGTGCATGGTGATGCGTTGCAACTCTGCTCCAACAACACACTTGATATGCCGGCAACGCATATGCGAATCTGTCAGCTCTGCGCACTTCTCACCGGCCTCTTGTGAAGCATCTCAGCGGCAATTTCACACTCTTCGGGCTCTACGAGTCGCAGGAAACCATCTGAACAGTCTGTACCTGGCAGGATGCAGACAATGCAGAAACGCTTGGAGAGCCAAGGTGGGGACTCATTCGTCAAGCCGCCTGCTTCACTCATTGTGAAGGTGGACTGCCTTGCAGAGAGCAAGGCAATCTCAAAACGTTTGGCTACGTCTCGCCCAGGCTTGCAGAAACAAAGTACGAGCAAGCCCTCCGTGAGGCAAGAACCTTGCCTGAGCTCTTCCTCCGTTGGGCCCTGCATTGCGGCAAAGGCTGGAGGCATCTCCGCAATGCCTCACCCAGACAGGACTTGATGAAACTGGTGCACAACAGGCTCGCAAAATGGAAAAAAGCGCTGCTTATTTTAGCTTGTCTGTAGCCCAACTATTATTTCTTCGCGCATTATTCTTCCTTCAACAAACACAAGAGAGAGGCTACAAGCTGCACATTCTGATTCCATGCCGCGGCTATCTGCAGTCACACGACCTTCCGTCTTCGGCGCTGCACCAAGGGTTGCCAGGGCCATCTGCGCCTCGACTCATCGCAGGTCTCGTAGCTCTGCTTCCAGCGTGAAGACATGTAGACTTCTTGCAGGCATGAGCACTAGCTTCTTCATGGTTCTGGGAGTTGCCTGCTTGCAGTGATTCTTTCCCGCCTGACTGGGAGCAGCCTTCTGCCTCAGACCTGCTCTGCCGCGGAAAACCTGCAGCGTTGTGGTGAATGAAGTGACGCTGTCTAAATCTAACAGCCCTCTTTGACCTGCAGTTCTTCTGCCAAGGCGCAAATTGGAAAACAATGAGGACTGAACCTCAAATCAGGTTGGTTGCTGCAAGCTGGATTTCTGCATGTAACAGGCGGAGGCGAATTAACGAATGCTCTGCTTTCAAGGCTCCAAGCCCAAGGAAGAAAGCATATGCAGGTTTGATCGCCTCCTGAAACAGTGGTACAGCAGAATAATTAACATTGAACATGGCTTTGAGTGAAAACAACAGCACAGCTAGATTCTGCCAAGGGATGCTGAGGTGGAGCTTCCATTCCGGCAGCTTCCACAAGCCAGTTTGCAAACACTCAGATTAGTTCAGTGA